AAGTTTTCAAAAATATATTAAAATCATTTTATATATGGTTCTCCAATCAAATTACATTCCATTGCAGATAAAACTGTTAAATTATTGTTTCATAATTTTTTGTCCCCTTTTACAGAGGACAGAGTCAAAGTCTCTATACAGATTAGAACAAAAATAATTTCTACAACAAGATCCCCAAGTTGCAGAAACTTCTTGTTACAGAAAATTTATTCATCACCTTCTCTCCATCAGATAAATACTTCCTGAGTTCGCACAGTGTGTTACCAAATCAATGTTTTGGCAAGTAAAGAGATTTATCACACTTTTTAATGCTTACACTGGATTACAATCATGAGTGTGTGTGGTGGGTCATACTTCAAAATGCATGCGAAGTGGTTTCTTTAAGCTGCGTGATGGTATAACAAGGTCATTTTGTTATCCAAGGAATGCATGGTAATTTCCTTCGCTGTAGCCAATTTCCTTAAACAAGCTGAAATGCAGAAACATATGGAAATGAGTAAAATGCTTGACATACATGTTATTATTTGAGTCCAATATAAATATATATAACAATTACAATTTGAGCCCAAGTCATAGAATTATGTAATTTTCAGTACAAGACTTTTGACATAGAAGAAGAGGAAGAAGAGGAGGAGGAGGAGGAGGAGGAGGAGGAGGAGGAGGAGGAGGAGGATGGAAGAGGAAGAAAGAGAAGAAGAAGAAAAGAAGAGAAAGAAGAAGAAGAAGAAGAAGAAGAAGAAGAAGAAGAAGAAGAAGAAGAAGAAGAAGAAGAAGAAGAAGAAGAAGAAGAAAAAGAAGAAGAACAGGTTGAGGAAGATGAAGACAAAGAAAAAGAGGTAGAGGAAGAAATGAAGAAGAAATAAAAAAACAAAGAAAGAAAGTAAATGCCCAACATTTGTTTACAAAATCAACATTATAATAAAACAGAATACATGAATCCATATAAGAAAAAAAAAAAAACATCCCTCTAAACTTCACAACTTCGCAACTTACTTAACAGCTAATTTAGTGAATACTGTTGGTCCACAGACACATAAATGCACTACATGCTCATCATCTTTCTTTGGTAGCAAATTCTCCAAAAGTTCCCTTCTGACGTGACCTCTCAAGCCGGACCAGGAATCATCAGCCTTCGACAATACATGGGTTACCTGAAATTAGAAAGAATACAAAGGTAGAAGTCGTTGACATAAATCATCAATACTTTTTCGTCTTGATGAGCTTGACGAAGAACATTGGTACAATTGAAGAGCTAAAGAAATGAGGAAAATAACATGCATATATGTATATGTATTTTTTTTCACTAGAATATGCTTGACTCCTTCAAAAGGATGTAGATCAAAGAGCAACAGACTTATATTCATTGAATCTATAACATTCTACACCATAAAATCTTTTCTAATGTTCACTGACCTTTAATAAACTTGAGTGATCAGTAAGTAATGTGTTAAGGTCCTCTCTCCATGGAATATCATCCTCTGTTTTATTAAAGAGAATGAGGTGAACTCTCCTGCAAAACAATAATTATATTAATAATAATAATAATAATAATAATAATAATAATAATAATAATAATAATAATAATAATAATAATAATAATAATAACATCTAAAGACTATTTTTCAAAACATTCCTATAAAAGTTAAAAGTTAGAAGCACATTTATCTGTTAATAATTTCATTAGTGACATTAATATCTATATTTAAATTATTCATGTGTAAATGAAAACATAGTTACAAGTAAGTTTATACATTAATAATTGTCCAAGTTTGGTTGTCTTAGCATACTCAAGCGTCAAAAAATGTAAAGACAAATGACTTGATATATGCATAATGATTCCATATATCAATTCCTCATAATGTGATAAATGCTTATTTGTTACTCTTAAATCATGCATTCCTACTTTCTTCCTCTGATCTCTTAGAAAACATCCCAAGCTGTGCTACAAAAACAATAAAAATTTCTGATGATCTTACTTTTCCTTCTGAAGCGCAGCCAGCATTACTCTTATCATCGGAGTAATACCTGTCCCGGCAGCCAAGAGCGCAACATCTGTAGCAGTGACTGTGGCTGCCGTTAGCTTATCTAGAGTAAACGTCCCCTCCGGAAAGCTTACATCTATGCTAGATCCAACTGGAAGTTCGTCAAGGGCTGGCGTTAAAGCACCTCCCTCATAAACCTGAAAACATATATCATTTATGTTAATCACTGTGTATACACAGTGAACAGTTTTCTAAGAAATTACCAAAAAGAAATATTTTTCATCATAATACAACTGATTTCAACAAACTGGAAAAAATATGGATAAGGAAAAAGATGATTACAATAATAATGGAAAAAGAATAATATGCAAATAATTATAATAACAATAACAATTATAATAATAGTAATAATAAAATCAATAATAATAATAATAATAATAATAATAATAATAATAATAATAATAATAATAGTAGCAATAATAAAAACAACAAAATATAATATACCCAAAATAATAATAATAACAATTACAACAATGACAATGATAAATCAGATTTTTGTTTCTCATCACCACTAGCTTTTTACCATTCCCTGTTGCTCCAGACACGCAAACATACAAAAGTAACTAATTAAGTAAATGAAACAGCAGTACTACATTACGAACACCTTACATTACCATAAGCGGAGAAGTTTTATACATAATTTTTTCTGACTCATAATTCAATGCATTTCTCCTAGTTTATCTGAACAGAAGATATCATAACTTTCTAGTGACTGAGTACAGTTGAGTTTTCAATGAAACTTCTTCTGAGATTTAGCTATAGTAAACTCAATCAGGAGAAATGAGCAGAATTAAAAACAGCAATGGTTAATTTTTTATATATATACAGTGGGGAGCTACGTATCTTCCCTAATCTACAAGTGTTAATAAATTAAGTAGTAGTGTTCTGCAAAAAAACACACAATGAACCTCTGAATAAGAATTAGTAACATTTCCTCATTCCTATAACTCCTCCTTACCTTGATAAAAATATATATCTTCCTTCCAACTTCTTCCTCTTCGCCAACTTTCAGCGATGCTGTGACTGGGGTGTAGGGTTTTACCGCATCTACAAAAAAAAACAATTCTTTAAAATCTGGTCCATACTTAGCTAAATCCTCTATCCAGTTGAACAGGTATCGACATCTACTAACTACATCACAGGTATATCAAGTCAAATATTCAATAATGCAAGACTATGGATATACTTGCCTTTTCCCTTTATTCTTAAGTAAACATGATAACCAATAGGCACTGGTAGATATGCATATCTAGGCACTTCAACAATAAACATTCGAGTATCATGTGTCACATTTTCTTTGCTTATTAGGGAACATTCTAGATACTCAATCTGGAAAAGGAAAGAACTCGGTCAATTAGTGACATTAATATCTATATTTAATATAATATAATGATAAATGATCTTCATTATAAAATGTGGAATTCAAATCTATATGAATACATACATTATCAAAAAATAAGATGCAGAGGTCTGTCTACACTCTTTAAAAATTTTTATGGTTTACCATCCACAACTTCTAAGAATGAATGTCAACATCTGTGCGACAAAAGGGGATATACTGAAAATAGCCATCACAGGGTAAAAAAAAAAAATATATATATATATATTATATATATAATATATATATATATATATATATATATATATATATATATATATATATATATATATATATAGGGAAATACAATAAAATCAATTCTCACTCTTACCTCTCTATCCTTTGAATTGACATGCTCGCCATTTCTCTCTAGGGGCTTTCCCACTGAGCTCCACCGTACCCCCGTCTCCTGCTTGTTCAGCAAAAGGTCAACTTTCCCTGATCCACTTCCGGTTTTCAATTCGAAGTCTTCACCAACAGGCTTATGCAAATTCAAATGGACTGTGTATACCATATCTTGTATATAGCATACGATTTTAATTACCTGCGGAATAGAATCATGACTAACGTAATATCCCTTGCTTTTTGCCTGATCTATTCTGTGGCTGGATCATATTATCAAGCTACCTCATTCTCTCTTATCAAAATAATATGTAAATGATCTACATGGCTTATTTGGTGTTCCATCCATTAGGACAATAAATACCTCCGCATGTTTAACTATAACGACATGCTCCTTGGTAATATGCTTCCACTTGGTGTAGATGGCTATGTTGATCATCGTATTCGTCTGAAACCAGTCGTATTTTGGGGATGGCAGCGAGGACGGGGTTTGGGGGGACAACAGAGGGGACTTTGGCGCTCCTAGTTTTCCCGGGAGGCCTAAGCTTGGTACCGATAAAGAGTTATTGGCTGAGGACACTGTGAGGTTCTTTGATGTATCTGAAATATTTACAAGTAACCAGAGTTTAGGGGTATACCTTAAGCTGCGTATATCTTACTGTCCAGAAAACACGTGCCTGATATCAATTACCATGGTAAAATAAAGATTAAAAAATGTACATCTCATCTAAATGATGGCAAAACTTCTTTCTTTGAAGCAAACAAAGTATTCACTCTAATTTTTGCACATTTCAGAAAATACTCAACTATAATAAAGTCTCCTATGAAATTTACTTTGTTTGTTCTGATCCTTTGAACTTTTCCCAAGCGGCAAAAAGCTTGGCTTTAGGAAGAATGGTCGACCTTCTACCAGCCTGCCTACAAGACATTTCTGGAGCATGGACTCAAAATTCACCCATTTATGCACCTGAAAACAAATAAACAAATATTAAACCTTATAAACAATATCTATGTCACTGAGATATTTGAATCAAAAGTAATTATTTCGTAGGTTTCCCCTACTTTTTTTGTAAATGATTACTTTACTATATGAGGCTTCACTTCAATTTACTCATTCAATACATGAAACTACTACTTTTCTCTTTAATAAAAAGTACTATGCCAGCACAAATGAGAAGCAATGCATCTTCATTTTACTATACTAAGCTAACATTACTCTTAATTAGGTTAGAGATTATCATAAAAAATACAAAAAGAACTATAAAGATAATATTTTAATGCCTCTATCACTTCCTAAAGAAATACATTGTTATGGAAATATCAAACATTCTCATTTAAATGCTGTGGATATTATAGAGAACAACAAACGTAAGCTTGTATATCTCAAACAGTCATGGCAAATGTAGCACTGCAAAAAAGAAAAGAAAGAAACAAAGAAAGAAAAGAAAAAACAAAACAGAGAGGGCACTGAAGTAGAATACTACTACTACTACTACTACTACTACTACTACTACTACTACTACTACTACTACTACTACTACTACTACTACTACTACTACTACTACTACTACTACTACTAATAATAATAATAATAATAATAATAATAATAATAATAATAAAATGAGAAGAAGAAGAAGAAAAAAATAACAATAATGAAAAAAATAGAATAATAAGAAGAGGAATAATAATAATGACAAGAAGAAGAAGCAGAAAAAGAAAAAGAAAAAGACGTAAAGGAATGAGGTTCGTGTAGAATCAACAAGCAAACCCTTGTCATCCCGACCTCATTAAAAAGATCTGTCGCATCCATGCCAACGCCTCGCAAGAGCTCATCCTCCCCACCAGGGTGAAACTCCATGTAAGGCGTCACGTTGTACACTTTCCCTGGGAAAACGACAAATGTTAGGAATTCGTAGGATTTGAAATTTTGGAGCATTTGTGTGTACTCATGATAGGTACCCATTACTATTGATTACTCTTTAATTCCTAATAATAATGTGAGGTAGTGGTGGTGTCACGATGACGTGATGATGATGATGAATGAAAATAATAACAACAACAATAATAATCATCATAATAACAATAACAACAATAATAATAACAACAATGACAATAACAATAATAATAATAACAAATGATAATTATAATAACAATACTAAAGATACAATAATATTCATCATCACCATTAATATTATTCCTATCACATCTGCCATCCCCATATCATTCTCATCCTTACAACCACTCACATTACCATCACCATTACCATTTCCATCACTACCACTGTCATCATCATCATCACCATACCACTCCCCGGCCCCCCTCCGTAACTCGCACACAGCCCCCCCCCCCCTGCTGATTACAACCACACAATTCACACAAGCCCTCAGAATGCCCCTCCCTCCCCACCCAACCCCCCAACCCCAAGTACAACCCACAATTCGCACAACAACCTTCCGACCCCTCAGAACACTTCCCTCTCTATCTCCCAACCCACCCTCCCATTCCCAACCCCCAACCCACAATTCGCATTCTCCCTACCTCCAAACCCCCTCCCTCTCCCAACCCCCCCAACCCCCAATTACAACCCACAATTCGCACAAAAAACCCTTGCCCCTAGAACATCCCCACCCCTCCCTACCTCTCCCCCCAACCCCAACTACAACCCACACAATTCGCACAAAAACCCCCCCTTGCCCTAAGAACACCCCCCATCCCTACCCCCACCCACCACCCTAACCCACCCTCACCCCCAACCCACCTTTACCCCAACCATCCACCACCCCTACAACCTTCCCCCCCTCCCCCTCCTCACCTTTCAGCGCCATCCAGCAGTCGTTCCGCTTCTTGTGCTTGGCCAGCTCCTGCGGGGTGACGTCGAGCAGGCGACCCCCCGTGCCGGCCAGGTCAGTCCCGGAGTGACCCAGCCGCACCCAGTCCATCAGACTCCGACCGGGCTTCAGCGCCGTCTTGTTCCTGGGGTTTCCTGGGGGAGGAGAAGGAGAGATATGTAATAACGGTATGGATAAGGACAAGGATGTTGATAATAATAAGAAATTATTATAAAGGGGAGAGGGAGATTAAGAGAGAGGGGGGGGGTAGTTGAAGGGAAGGGAAAGGGAGGAAAAGGGAGGGAGGGAGGGAGGGAGAAAGGGAGAGGAGAGGGGAGAGAGGGAGAAGGAGAGGGAGAGAGGGAGAAGGAGAGAGAGAGAGAGAGAGAGAGAGAGAGAGAGAGAGAGAGAGAGAGAGAGAGAGAGAGAGAGAGAGAGAGAGAGAGAGAGAGAGAGAGAGAGAGAGAGAGAGAGAGAGAGAGAGAGAAAGACAGAGAAAGGGAACGAATAGCAGACAGATACAGATACAGATAAAGAGAGACTTAAAGCGACACAAAAACAAAAAGAGAGAAAGAGAAAAGGCCAAGAAGGGAAAACCACGGAAACAGCGGCCCTGCTTCAGAGGACCCCAACCCCCGCACGGCCTCACCTTCCGCTGGCCCCGCGGGTGCCACGGCGACCCCGTTGACCTGACCCGCGCGGCCAAGGACAGTGCCCATGGTGGCGACTCCCCTTCAGAGCATCCCGGCATCATACGGCGCTCCTCATCGGCGTCCTCCTAGCGTGCCACTCTGCCCTGCCCGACCATGGCGACCGCCGGCACGAATACTCCACGGGGCTTCACTCTCTACCGTCCCTTCAACACGGAGAGCAGTCCCGCCGGCAGACACTTAAATACTCCACGGGGCGT